GATAACAATGTAATGAACAATGAGACAGAAAAGAGTTGCAAACCTCAGGGCTAAACCCTCATTTCTCTAAGAGACACAATTCAGGTGAAACCAGCATCCACATCAACAAAGACTGTGAAAAACAGGTGCCTCAGAGTTTGGACCCCATGTAAAAGAGAAAGCAAAACAATAAAAGACTCACAGATTTCATTTACCTATCTCTTTGGAAGACACGACTTGCTCTGCTGATCAAACAGAACATGGGAAGTTCTGAACAACATAAAAATCATTTGCCTGGTAAATTTTAAGGTCTGCTCTAGCACAAGTGTCAGTACCTTGTAATTCCCTGTTAATAAAAGACACTGCAGAGTTATGAGCGTTATTACAGGCTAAAGTCACCAACAAAGAGACCAAGATCCATGAAAAAGCACTCCAGTGTTTAACATCCAAGATGGGCCCTTACAACTCTTGTTTTCACCATGCCAAATGGTTTATCATGGTAATGCTCAGCCACAAAGGCAATTAGAAGGATTTGAAGGCCCTCTGGAGAACTTTGTGACACTCAGATCTCCGAGCTGGGCGGTGACTGACAGAATTTGGCACGGCTGAGGCCACGGAACCACCACCAGCAGTGGGGCATGTTCTGACCAGATGTCTTACAAGACACAAACCAGTGCCAGCAGTGAAATGCTGACCTCCTTTTTACAGGCACTGCTGGCTAAAAAGAAAAAAGAAAAAAAAAAAAAAAAGACCTTCGTCCAAGTTAAAATAGAAAATAAAAGACCTTCATCTGAGTTAAAATAGAAAATAAAAGACCTTCATCTAAGTTAAAACAGAAAATAAAAGACCTTCATCCCAGTTAAAGTAGAAAATGCAATGAAATACTTCCAAAAATTGTATCAATAAKGTGGGTCTGGTGATAAAAGTTCATTCTGAGCTGGTAATTGAGGTTGTAGGAGTGAATTCTGCCACCTCAGTGGATCCTGGGCAACAAAGCAAGTCAAGACTCCCTTACCAAGAAGCCCTTGACATAATCTATGTCTTCACCCTAAGTTTTAGGTTTTCATTCAGAGCTTACACTAATTTTTCAGGGTTTTTTCCCCTAATTAATGTCCTGTGTGTTGTCACTGACATAAGGTCACAGCCTTCTGCACCATCAGTCATTACAGCCTTCATTTCCACCTTTGCCACAAACTTTGGATGAAGTCAAAGCTCTGCCCTCCTCTGTCTCACTTTTAAAACAGGACTAAAAATGTTCCTTCTCCAGATCAGGGCACTTCAGTTTCCCTAAAGCCTCTCCTCCCTTAAGAAGCACTAATTAAAAGCATTTAAACCACTTATATTTACCTTTGCTTGGGACTTTTAAACCAATAAATCAGAATTGTTTCTTCATTTGTTACTAACTCCAACCCTGGCTCTTGCAGAGCTGTTCCAAAAGGTGTTTTGAGGACAAAAACCAAAATATCTCTGCAGTGCTGCAGTCAGTTAATGTTCTCAGAGATTAATGTGCTTTCCCTTTTAATACAGAATGTTATCCATAGTTGTAAGTGGAATTTGCCAATAAACATGGCTGATAATGAAATAGAAATCAGCTCATGCATCAAATTGTTAAAACAACGCTTTTTCTGATACAGAAATTTGCTATTTTTTATGGTTTCACAGAGGAAATTCCTCGTGTTGATAAAACATTCAGTACTTAGCAGAAGAAACAACCCTTTGGCTCCAGGACACAGCAGCATCTAATAAATCCAGTAGGATATTAGGAATACTCAGTGCCCACAAAGGCCCAGACAATTTCAACCCAGAAGTTTTCCCCTTTGTTCTGCTATGGCTATAAAATACTTTTTTTCCTCCTCCCAACATTTTGAAACATAACAAAGAAAAAAAAAAAAAACCAAAACCAACTGCCTCAGAATTTTTCACATGAAGGGGAACATTATTAAGGGACATTCTTTCCTAGAAATCTTTTAAGTCTTATTTATTAAGAGAATTAATGTGATCATAAGCTGGCTGACACACCAAGTGTTGAAATCTGTCATCTTCCAACCATGCTTTGCTAATGAAATTTTGGTGTTAATTCAGGGATATAACAGAATCCTAGAATCTGTAACAGGAATCAAACAACAATTGTGGTTCATCTGGCACAAAAAGCATCATTTTCCTCCTTTTCTGTTGTGGGTTTGTCACTGTGTGCTCTCCATCATCTATTTCTTTCCAGAATCTGCTTTTTGATGTGGAGTCCCCACTTGGCCATCAACTGCAACATTAAAATGTTCTGAACATGTTTTGCAGTTCCAATCCCAGGAACTGTTTTGTACTTTTAATCCCAGCATCCAAAAGGATTTCATTAAAAAAAAAAAAACCCAAACAACTGGGGGATTTCATAAATAACCTCAAGGTATCTTTATGATGCCACCAACCCCTTCTTCTGCCCAGTCCAGTAACCAAAAGCAGCAGAGGAGTTTGGTGAAGGCTCTGACCATTGGAATTATCAAGCTCCAGGCTGTTGTGGGTACATCACTATAGGGATGTAAGAATCAAATTTAAAAAAAAAAAAAAAGTTTACACCACACTTCAGTGCCCAACAAGCTCAGATCAGGGGTTTTAGGTCGTCAAAAGAAGCAAAATGCTCTTGAAGGTTCCATTTATTCAAGATACTACCTTAAAAAATATTGAGTTGAAGATGGATGCAATTGTGCAATAATAATGAATCCAAATCTTTTACTAGCAAAGAGAGGCAGGAATTTGAATTAACATCAAAATCGTGTATTATGGCATCCACATCTGGATATCACTTCACTGCCTCAATCCAAAACTTCTCTGAGAGCCAGTCGGTTTCTGTAAAAAATGTATTTCTCCCTTTGAAAGGAAATAATAATTGGAAGGTCTTCCAGGAAGCCACCCAATACCAATAGAGGAAATTGCAATCTGTTCCTCAATGTTAGTTTAAATCAATGTTATATTTAGCAAAGGCTGCTTTTTAATGACAGCATTTTCAAGAGCTTTTACTACACTGAGCCTCCTCAAAGGCTTACATTATATTAAGAATTGCTTTGTTTGTAGAATGTCTCTTTAATCATCCCTCGAGGTCTTCAGCTTACCCTGCATTAGATGTTGTTCCCCATCTCCAGGACATCCAGGATTCCATTTTTACCAAAATCCCTTTTTTTTTTTTTTTTGCCCCAGGCTAATAAAAAGCAAAGTATTTCTGCATATGCTTGCCTAGAAGTATGTGAGGTTCTTAAAAATATTAAGTGATCAAATATTAAAACCAGCTTTTGCTGGTTCCAGAAGTATACACAGCATTTCAGCTTCCTAGGAATTTTCTGCTTGGGTATCTGGATTTCAGTAAATTTCCATTAAATCAGTGGTTTCAAAGGAAGAAWWTTTTTTWAAAGTACASTAWTAATGATACTAAACAAAATTCAAGAACTCCAAGCTAAACAGCTCCTCCAATTTCTTCTCCAAGTCGACAAAATCTTTTAAAAGCTGCTAAAAACTCTCTGGGACACTGCTCAGAAACCCTTTGCTGAATTTCCCTGTGGTTTTTATGGATTTCATTACATTGTGAGGTAATAACATCAAAATTAAGATTATAACAGCTGAACACAGAAGGGTTTCATACCACCTATAATCATCAGTGCTCCAAAACTGGTGCTGCCAACAGCTGAATTATTCCATTGAATGTAACTCAGCTTAAGGGAATCCATAAATTCAACATGGAATTTGCATCAGAAGAAAAAAGCTGCTCCTACAGGGGAAAAACTTACCTGTGCATGAGAATAATGTGATTTACCTGTGTTCTATCAGCAGAACCTGGTGATAAAATAACCTACCTGTGCTGATTCCACTTGGATAACAGATTATAACCAGATTATATTCATGATTTTTATAGTTACACCTTTTTGTAGTTACGCCTTTCACAGAAGAAAAAAAATTCACAAAGAAAATTCTTCTCCTCAACAAACACACAAACAAAGGCAGACATTTTCCTTAAGAAAATATAATGATCATTAAAAAAATTGATGAAAGAGAAGAAAAAGCACATTTTGCAGATGATGAGGCAAAAATGACAACCTAATAGACGCCACTCCTTTATAAAGGAGAACATTAACTGCACCACAATCCAACAGATATCCAACATTTAAAAACTTCCATTTGTGCCTTTTGGGCACAAAAAAATTAAGTAAACTGTAGGAGTTGATTTTTTGGGAACTCATGATTTTTTCATGAGTTTCTACATTTAATAATGTAATTCTTTGGTACGAGTAAATGCCTTTAGAAAGGGAAAAAAAAAGGATTTCCTTTTCTATACAACTTCTCAGGAGGTGTTTCCATTGCCAACATGAGCAGATCACATTAGTTTCAAAATTTTTCCATTGCTCTTTACTACTCTGAGGGAAAAAAAGGGCTTAAAAATGATTTCTGCTCACTTCCACAGGTGGGATTCTCTGCAGCCACTTTTAATCGAGGTGTCAAAGCAGCAAGAACAGAGCCTGGCTATTCAGCCTCCTAAAACAATCGAAAAAGGACAAAAAATACGATTCTGATGCAAAATCTGGAAAAATCTAACGACCAAAAATACAAATAATGAATACTTTATTCCATCCTCATTCAGCATAGACTTTGCATGTAGATTTCAATGGAAATTAAGGCCAAACTTTCCTTCAATGCAGCCTTAAAGATGGAAATTGGGAAGGTTTGTGCAAACCAGACTGCAGCCCAGGCCATGCCACTGCCTTGCTCTCCTATTTTTCACCTTTTCTCTCTTCCAAGCCCTAAAAGCACAGCAGAAAAGTGCTGAAAATAAGCAAAAATATCAGGAGTGGTACAAAAAGAAAGAGAACAGGAAAGATTTGAATATGTGACTGACGTGGATGGATCAGATGTGTCAAATCCAGGAATGTGATCAGCCAGGTCAAAGCCGGGGCATCTGGGTGAGCTCTGGGTGAGCAGGGACCATACCTGCACTCATAACTTTTAATTCCCCTCATTTCTTTGACGAGAAATCCCCAGATTACCTTGATTGTTCTGTCATTATCTTCCATCAGCTGCTGCTTCTCATCTTCCAATTTCTGTGCCACGTCCTGGAGCCGCTGCTCGGCCGCAAGCTGCTGCAGGTTGTTCTCCTCCATCAGGGAGGAAATGGTTGTCTTCAGCACAGTTATCTCCTGGAAAAGAAAACAGCAGGTTAAAGCTCCCCTCCACAAAATACAAAAGTATTTTGAGTGGTTTTTTATATAAATATGGCATTGGAAAGATCTGCTGTTCCAAGATGGATGTTTGGAAATAGCAGGGCATGAAATGCCATGTGGAGAAAAGGAAGAGAGTGAGGCTGTCAGTGATGGGAATTGCTGAACACAAAATATTTGGAAGTGTTTTCCACTGTGACAGTCCAAAATATTTGCTCATGAGAACAAAGCACATCTGTGATCTTCCAACTCCAGCCTGGTGCCCGTCTTCCACCACCCCAAAACTGGGAGTGTGAGTTTACATCGGGGTGATGGTGCTGCCCCTTTTTCTGGAGAATATTTTACAGCTTGATACTGCTGAGAAGAAAAACGTTCACATTAACACGCTGGACTGAAATTTAAACTTGACAGGGAAATTTCTGAGCTGCTGATCTCCTTTTAGATTCTGCTGAGCAATACATTGGGGACCTGACCCCACATTAAGACCTTAAACGAGACCTTTTAGGTGATTCGCTTGTGATTTGTTGAATTGTATTTGTTTTACCTTTTTCATCATTGGGGAAAGTCATAACTAACCCTGATCTTTTAGGCATATTTACAGAATTTTATACTGACATGTCATCACCCAGCAAAGCACTTAAACATGTGGGAGAATCCCTGACTTTAATGTATATATTCAAGCTTAAGGTTAAGCTGCTGCAGCAGCATATTATGGTTTAACTCTGAAAGCACTTCAGCACACAGACAGCTCAAGGAGGGACCAGAGTGCTTAAACTCTGTATCTGCCACACCTCCTCACTGGCAGAGAAACATTAATTACATGGCTATTTAGGAAAGAAAAATAGTTAAAAAAACCCTAATAATAGGCCAGGACTAGTGTGAGAAGAGATGTGGTACAAATCAAGGAACTAAAATCACTGGGAAAAGGGGAAAAGACCTGACTAAAAACCTGTAGAAAATTTATTTCTGCTTAACTGCTTGAAAACCCCAGGAAGTAACACAGATTATATGTAAAACCTACCTTTGTAATTCTGTACTGCTTTAGACAATACATATTAAAAATACAGTATTTTATATTATACATATAGGTTAAATACATATTTTAAAAGATAATATCCATCAAAAAGAAGGTTAGTGGATACCAATATGCCAAAGTTCAGAGTTTATCTGGACAGGGTGCAACTCTTTAGGCAGAATGAAGCAGCATCTCTGGGTTTGCAGTTGAGGTCGTTGTTCACAAGACAGACAATTTGCAGAAATGTGGTTTTAGCAGGTGGGTAACGTGCAGGACAAAGCAATGGATCAATAATTAATCAATAAATTAATAAGATAACAGCTTGAAACCATGCACTTCATTTTGTCACTTTTACAAACAAGTTACAAACTCTCAACAGAACCCAAACCTGAGATTTAAAACTTTTCCTGAGTTAAGAGCCCAGCCTAGTACAGGAGTTCTGAAATGCATGCAAGAAGATTTCAGCAGGAATTGATGAAGAAAGATCTGCTTTGTGCAGCACTTTTCGGAGTGAAAAATTCTATTGACTTTGTATAAACTTCAGAGGAAATTTCTTGAAATATCTTCTCTGTGTGGGTGTTAAAAGCAAATGTTCCAAGAGGCCGAGGAGAGTAAGATCAGACAGATGTTGTCAGCAACGCCACCACAAGAAAAGTCGCGATCGGCCGATTATCAACAGCGAGCTGTGAAAAAACCCCAAACCCAACCATGGCCAAGCAGCTTGGGGGATTTGATTTAAAGCCACACAAGTAAGGAAATTCAGCCATTCAGGTGAAGGTGCTGTATGGAGCAGCCCTGGCAGATGATGTGTGTGTTGTGTCTGCCCCAAAAAACACTGATGAACCGGGTACAGCTCCCTCCTCAGTGACAGCAAAGCCACCTTAACACAAAACACATCCCCAAATTTCTCCATCCTGAGACTGTTCTGCAGGCCAATAAATGTCACTGACAAAATTTAGTGTGACATTTAGGTTAAAGAGTTCTTACCTTGAGCTACACTATCTACGTGTTCCCACTGCAACAATTAAAAGTGATTTCTCTCATCCCTGAATTAATAATTCAGAAATGCTTTCAATTATTCCCACTGTCTTTAACAAATGGAGCAAGAACCATTTTTTGTACTGACATTAGATTATGACTGGCATGGAAAGACTGCCTTGATTCCACTCTCATGTGGGTGACAATGACAAAAGGTAAAATAGAGGAGGCTGTGGAAGAGTTCTCTTCCTTCAGGTCTGACATGGATTAAATGTTACTTTTTGAGCTTTAACCATTTCCTGCTTTTCAGGTTCAGATGGAAAGACAAAAAAAATAAGAGTTTTTTCATTGTTGTCTCTTTCTCTCTTTATAAAAAAGGCCCTCAAAAATGACTAAACTACTAATTTAAAATCACTGAAAAGGTTTTTAGGAGGGAGAGCAATCTCTCTGATTTACCACAGAAACGTGGAATTGGTGAGGGTGGAATGGACCAGTTTAAAGATGTATCACCCAGAGCTGGCTGCTCAGGACCAGCCCAGTCATGTTTTAAGTATCTCCAAGCATGGAGATCCCTCTCTTTATGCAAATAAATGTGCAGAAAATACACATTAGATTTGAGAAATATAAGACATATTTACCACTGATTCTGATAAATGTAACGTGAAACAGTGAGAGCCAAAAAATGTCATCAAAATAACTGAAGCCACGGTTTTGGACAAGTGTTACAGAGAATAAGACTTCAAGGAGCTGAAAAGCTGAAATAGAGAGTTTTAAGTATTTTAAAGTGTTGGTAAACATTTTAAAAAAACATTTTAAAAAAGTTTGCAATTTCTTGTTATTGTCTCCCTGATCACTTCTGTTTAGTTTAGAGGCTGCTAAACCTTTCTTGGTAGTGTTCTTATTGATTTTAAAAGATTATTATTGGACTATTGGCTACAAACACCCTCTGCAAGGCAAGGCAGACACTCTGCTGTGGCTGAGAGAGATGAGGAGAATGACACCTCCACACAAATCCTCCTGGCAATTTTCTTCCTATTAAAAGCTTAACTTCTGGTTGCATCTCCATCATTTTTCACACTTCAGTACTACCTGCCAGTCAAACTGAAAGCTGGAGTATTTAAAAATCATCCCATCTCACCCTTTTTAAGTATATATGTAAATTCAACACTCATTTTCATCTTCTGAGCTCTCTGAAGAACAGAAACTCAAGTCAAAACCAGCATGCCTGGAGGACACTGCCATTCCTCAAGGTGTTGTTTTGGGCAGAAACGCAGAACTGGTGGGGATCAATGATAAAAATGAAGAAACCATGGGTGACACCACCTTTAACATGAAATGTTAAAGTTCTGATTGTGTAACTTCTGATTTTATGTTGCTGGAGCACCTCACCTTCCTCCCCACTGGCTGAGGGAGGGCTCAGTCCTGTTGGATCCTCAGGAGATGACGATGTCGATAAAAAAGACCAAACTCAGAACTCACAAAACCCCACCTTGTATTTTCTAGCCAGCTTAACGCTCTGCACTTATTTCGGTTCAAAATCTGCAAGGAGACACCGGACGTTTGATTTGGCAACAAGCCACGACTTCTCCGGGCCAAAGAACCGAAGCAACTCCGCTTTTCCTTGAGCTTCCAAGCGCAACAGGTTCACCTGAGCTCCTGGCCACCTACCTGCGAGGATTTGGCCAGCTTCAGGCTGTACTCCTGCTCTGTCTGCTTCAGCCGGCTGCTGGCCTGGAACACACACAAAGGACAAACCCATCAGCTCAGACAGAGGACGTGCACAGACATTTTGCCACCCAGCCCCGGGCTTGGCACCTCCTCCGCGTGCCCATCGCCGAGCGCCGGCCCCGCGCCAGCCCCAACGCCCTTTTGTGGCAGCCAAAAAAACCGCCAGGGCTCGGGCTTTGATCTCGGGCCAACTATTCATCACTTAAAAGAGGGGAGAAATTGTACCTCTGCTGCCAATTATTAGGAAAACATAAAGAGTTCTGCGGATTAAAAAAAAAAAAAAGGAGAGAATGAGTGTGTGTGTGTGTGTGTGTGTGTGTGTGTGTGCGGCAGGGGAAGGAGGCAACACACAACAAATGAGTTTATCAGGGTGGATTTGTGCCTGAACTGAGGGGAAAAAAATGAGGGAGAATCCCAGGAAGAGGCTGCCAGGGTACAGTGTGATATGGGGAATGCAGCTTCACCTCTCTTCTGCTCATCCCTTCCTTAGGAAAGGTGGGGATTACACAGAAAATCCACCCAAGGTGCAGCTCAGCCAGCTCGGCCATACAGCTCTGTCCTTGTCCCAGCATTTTTTTTCACAGCTCAAAGCTAAAGAATAAACCAAGCTGAAAACAAGGTTGCTTTGTCATATCAGAACCCAGCAAGCAAATATTTCTAGCCACAGGAAAAACAGCCCTTAAGGTTTTTTCTTTCCCCTCAAATAATTTAATTTCAGAAATAATTTGATAATAGTGATAGTAATAAAAAAATAAATGCAATTCCATTTCAGGAGAGAAACCTGATTTGTGTTTTTCTTGCAGAAACCAGCCCAGCCCCAGCATGCTGTCCTCAGGTGAACTGCTCAGCTCTCTCGTCTTCTTGGCTCTCAAACTTGAGGACAGGTGTCTCAGACAAATATTTTCTTAGGGGGGACAGAATCTCACACAGCCGAGTTCTGAAGCAAATTTAAGCTGATTAAGTTTTCAAAACCTATCTGACCTCCTGCTCAAACCTTTGATCTGTCGTTCTCAGTTTTACGGCGCCGCATCCATTGCCCAAACCCGGCCCACGCCCAACGCTCTTTGGGGGACCACGGAAACCACAGGGGCCCCCAAAGCCTCAGAATCCTGCAGGGCTCAGCTCCATCTCTGCAAACACCCGGGATTTCAGGCAGGGAAAGAGTCTGATTGATTTTCCTGGGCTGTGAATTTGGGAGCTGAGAGCTGTGGAGCGTTTGGGGATCACTGAGGCAGGGCTGGGATCATCCTCGGCAGGGCAGGGCTCTGCAAGGTGCAGCTCAGGGTAAGAACATCACAGCCAGCTCAAATTAATCCTAAACTTTAAAACTGAAGTTTCACAATCTGAATCCCTTCAAATTCCAAAATTACGAAACATACGGACGTCTCCATCTGTTTGATGGTCACAAGGAATGTACTAAAGAAGTTCTTCCAAACCAATTATGAAATTTGTGCCTCATTTTTGAGTTAACACTACAGTTTGGTTTTGTGATAACAGCAATACACATTGGTTTAAAACAGCATCTGGAAGAATTCTGGAGCGCCAGACAAATTAAATTTCACTTTTTCTATGTTTATCACTGAAAAGGGTCCATTGTGGGGGTCCATAAATAAAAGCAGTGGGGACACAGCACCAGTGACCCCAGAGAGCTCTGCCCTTGCTCTGTTTCTCTCAGTATTTGGCCTGGCCCATGTTAACACTCATTCTATTGCACTGCAGCCCAGTTTCAGATGATGTTTCACCATCACTGCCTGTCCTAAAGTGACTGAAACTGCCAGTTTATCTTTAGAGAAAAAAGTGAAAAATAAATTACAGCAATAGCAGAAATTACTG